CATCTCCATAATGTGATCAGGCGCCATATCAATTGCAAGAATTATTATTATTATTCTTGTCGATGGATAACATGGAAGAACAGACTTGTTTTCAGAATGACCTTAAAAGTCTTTTTCAGATATATTTATTTCCAATATTATTCCCAGAAACTTAAAGGGTAGAGGTTAAAATCTCTTCCCTCCCCCCAATGCCCCACATAAAGTTATTAGGACGTGGAACGCGTTACAAGTCTGGATCTCGTGTATTTATCGTGTTCAAATATCAATTGGATAAACGTTTGAAGAATAGCAATACAAAAGGTCTTGAGGAAGCGAGCAGGGAATTGGGATGAGAGCAGGTATCTCCATTAACACAGCACAGGTGCAATGGTTCTGTGCTGTCACACAGAGCCTATATTGTGACAACTAAGGCTATTGCCCATGATGGTAGCTACTGTGAAACACTTACTCACAATAGAATTTTGCAGCTAACAAGTGTAGGCGAGGTAGGTAACCATAGGCTATTTTAAGCTGGTTGTTTGTGTACTTAATACACCTGAGGCGGTGCAAATCCAATATTCAACAGCACACCATTGTCAGCCCGGTGTTTCCAGCGCTCGGTAAATGGAATATGTTGAGGGTACAAAATAAATTCTGAATTCTTCAGAAATACGCTACATAATTCTGGCCAGCAGCTTGTATGTTTGACATTAAATTGGCTTGCATTTCATTGAATAATAAATCACTTATTCCTGTAATATTCTATTCACAATAGAATAGATAGAATAAACGTAGTGTAGGCCATTCAGCCCCTCGAGCCTGTTCCGCCATTCTATAAGACCATGGCTGATCTGTACCTCAAGTCCAAATACCTGCCCTTGCCCCGTATCCATGTGCCAGCATTTTCAGCAGTTACTGGTTGCCGTTGGTGACTAGGTGGCTTTCTACGCTTGCTCACTGTGCACAGGAAGCTGATCGGTCAGTGCAAGAAGCCAAGACTGTACCCTGCGTTACACCCTCTCCATAAACACAGCCACACTGTACCAGAGAGCATTACAGCTGCAGATTGATGGAATAAATTGACAGGTGTCCTTTCAGTCCTCATCGTTGTCTTCAAAGTAGATTGATTGGTGCGAATAGATATTAAAGAGAACACTTTTACTTTGTTTCCCCTTTTGTTGGACGTGTGGAGAGAAGCTGCCAGGGACAGATACAGTACCGGAGCTCGGGGTGGGGGTGTTGGGGGGAGTCCGTGTCAGTTTGTCATTTGTCTTTCAAAGGAAATAGCCGCTCGCTGTGGTTATTGGTGAGTGTGATGGGTTTATGGATTTTGTAGGAAGAAGTCAATGAAAACAGAGTGCAACTAATCATTGGGTATGGGGGATTTTTCCATTAGATAATGGTCTGGAGAAGCACCTTGGGCTACACTGCTGCTTCAACAACAACAAAATGACATTTGTATAGCGACTTTCACGTCAGGAGACATTCCAAGGTGCTGGACAGTCAGAGTTTCGGACCCAAACTGGGGGTCGGGATTGGGGAGGATGGAGAGCAGGAGGGGGAAGCAGAGTGTTCAAAAGCACAGTTGAAGAGGAGGGTCTTGAGATGGATCTCGAAGGAGGCAGGGGAGGGGGCGAGGCTGAGGGACTGTGGGATGGAGTTCCAGAGGGTGGGGGCAGAGTGGCTGAAGACCTGCCTGCCAATGGTGGGGTGAGCGAAGCGGGGGACATGAAGCAGGCTGGAGCCCGCTGAGCAGAGGGAGTGGGCAAGATGGTATGAGGTTAGGAGGTCGCAAATTTAGGGGAGAGCAAAGCCATGGAATGCTTTGAAGGTGAGGATCAGGATCTTGAACTGTATCCTCTGTGTGATGGGAAGCCAATGGAGTCGGGCGAGGATTGGGGTGATAGGGTCTCGGAGCCTGGTGCGGGAGAGGACACAGGATTTTCAGTTCTTTATCAATCTTTCTCCTTCCCCTCTCACGCTTTACAATAGTGCCAGCCTGATTCAGTTGGAAGTACTCTCACCTCTGAGTCAGAAGGTTGTGGGTTCGAGCCCCATGTTGGGAATTTGAGCTAGCACACTGACATTCCCGATACAGTACTGGAGGTGACTCTGGACTTCAGATGAAGATGTTTAAACTGAGGTTCCATCTGTCTGATCAAAAAGAGAAGGGAGCCTTTCTCTCCCAGTGACCTCGCCAACAATCCCCCAATTAAAACTCGCTGTGATAAATTTTCTTGTGCAAATTGGCAGCTGCGTTTGCCTAAAACACACAGTTACTGCATTTTACGGTCAATCCTGTGCAGGACTTTGAGATGTTTTTACACGATGAGGTTTTATATCAAATATTCCCTTGTTTAATTTTTAAGACTGCAGAGGAATGGAATGAACATTCCAGTAAGTCCCTTTCAGTCTGGAACATTAAACCCTGCACTCCACTAAAGATCAACTTTCAAACCTTCACAAAATATATTGTTATTGGTCTGTCAGCGCGCTTTCCCTGGAATCATTTCCAGTGATGATCTGCAGAGAGCCATTGTAAGAATAACCGTAGACCACACAAGCTTCGGATGAAGAAGTCCCTTTGGCCCATTTGAACGCATCCTTCCAGAATCCCCACCCTATCCCCTGCGCATTAGAGTATCCAGTCTTTTAAATGAGTCCCAGTGTCCCGGCCTCCACCACATTTCCTGATGATGATGATAATAATAATAATTAATAATAATCCTTGCCCTTGACACAGCGTCTCTTGTGTCATCTCAAAGTGTTTCACAGGATTTACTGTAAAGTGTAGTGACTGTGTATTTTGTAAGTGAGCACCACAGTGAATTTTGTTTGCACATCCACGTTTCTTCACTTCTTGACTGTCTTTCTTTGGATTGAGGCCTTAATTCAGATCCCATCTGCCTTGTGGTTCAGGTGGACGGGCAGAAACGACCCTCCCCTTCTGACTATTTCAAAGCATTCTCGGTGCCTTTCCTTCTGGTTGAATCCGGCTTATTCCCTCCTCAAACAAATGCTCCAGATAAAATTCTGCTGGATTGGAGACTCCATCTCATTGCTGCTGGTGGGAGACTGCTGACCCAATAGGCTGCTGTGTTTGCCCCAACTATAACACTTTGCTTCTAATTAATCTCATTTCCGTAACTCGCTTTGAGGATTGAAAGGAGCTGTGTAAATGTAAGCTGCTTCACCCCGTGACCTGATGTCCTGCTGCCTTGCCATAATTGAAGCATTGGCTTGTAAATGATGGTCTTGTATCTTCTCCTTTGACCGTGTCACCCAGGCAGTAAGTAGTAATGGCCTGGTTATGTCTAGAGTGAAGGACCAATAATAATAATATTCCTTAATAATAATAATCCTTGCATTTGATATAGCGCTTTTCACGTCTTCTAGACGTCTCAAAGCGCTTCACAGAATAGACTATAAAGTGAATTGACTGTATATTTGTGGGCGAAACGCGGCAGACAATTGTGTCCCACAAGCAGCCGTGGATTGAAGAGATCAATTTATTATTGTTTGTTTTTTTCTTGAGGGATTATTATCAGGTGTGTGGAATAAGGAAAATTGCCCAAGGTTTCGACCTGCCGGGATTCGAACCCAGGTCTCTCGCGTGAGAGTGGAGTTTTCTAACCACTGAGCTACAGGGCTACAAATCCTTGCATTTGATATAGCGCCTTATCATGTCTTCTAGACATGACAAGTCAGCGCCTTGGGTTGCCCTCCCGACTTGAAAAACGCTTTACAAATGTAATTTTGTTGTTGTTGTTGTAGACGTCTCCATGCGATTCACAGAATATACTGTAAGGTGAATTCACTTTGTGCTTTGTGGCAATCAATTGCATACAGCAGTGTCCCAGAAACAGTCGTGGATTGAGTGACCAAATTATTATTATTATTATTTTTAAGGGATTATTACCCGGTAAAGCGATCCGCCATTCGACTAACAACTGGGTTCCTAATTACTGCTAGGTAAACAGAGGTATGTGGAGTAAGGAAACTTGCCCAACATTTTGCCCTGCCTGGGAATCAAACCCAGTCCTCTCACTTGCGAAGTGAGTGCTGTAACCACTGAGCTACAAGACTCCACTATCCAGCCCGATAAGTTCAGGACCTGTAACCTATAGCTTCCATTGTCGTAAACATTATTTCCCTTATTCATCACTCAGCGAATTCTCAGTGCGTGTCTATCACATTAAAACAGCTCAGACCACCGATGAGTCCCTTGATGTTGTTTTAAATCAAATGCAGGGCAGCCAGCAATGTCCGGCAAACCAGCCACAGGGTGAATGACAAATTGTAATTGTTGGTGATTTGTTGGCCAGGTCACTGGAAGAAACTTCTTTTTCTTTTCTCGGGGTCTTTAATGTCACCTGAAGATCAGACAGATGGCACCTCAGTCCAACATCTCACCTGAAGGCCGAGGACTGAGGGACTGTTAAAGCTTGTGAAACCTCACTAGAAACCTGAGGCATGCAAGCGAGCACACAGCCCAGTGATCAACCACTAATCTTTGTGAACACCCGAGTTTGCACCTAACAAGTTTGACACAGCGAGGGTCAATTAAACGATTCAATTGTTTCGGAATGGACATAGGTCAATAGTTGGGGGGGGGGAGATCTAAGAATGACTGAAATTTATGCTGATCCCAAAGTGTAATTCAGGGAGTTACTATTTTTTGTCTTTCTGTGTTTGTTCGCTGTGAATGTGGGTAATTAATTAGATTTCTTGTCAGAGACCCGATGGTGCCTATTAAATGAAAATCGGATGTAAAAACATCCTGTCTATTATTGGTGATCTACCAGCGACCTGATTTTTACTCTGTCTCTCGTTCTGTCTCTCTCTCCCTCTCTTGCTTTCTTTTTCTCTTTCTCTAACTCTCTTGCTCTTTCTCTCTGGGTCTCTCTCTCTCTCTCTCTCGCTCTTTCTCTCTCGTGCTCTCTTTCCCTGTCTCTTGTTTTCTTTATCTCTCTCACACTCTCGCTCTTGCTCACCCTCTTTTTGGTTGTTTTTTTCTGCAGAGATGACTCAGATTGTGCAGTTGGATCTGGACGTTAAGTACCGGACGAACATCAGGAACCTCTTTGAAGAATTTGACAAGTTTCAGCCAGAGGCTGTGATAGGGATAGCCAGAGAACTTCAGCCTGTATACAGGTACTCCACGCACTTTACACTGTCCAGCTGGCAATCTGTGCTTAGCAGTGCGTCCCAGGACACATTCAGTATTGACACTACGCAGGTGAATACAGCAGCCTGTTTGTATACATCATTGTCCCCTAAAACAGCCGTAAAGTGAATGACGGGTTTGATTAGAGGGCGGTTGTTGCCCAGGAAACAGATAGAGCGATTGTTGGATCTTCAACACGTGCCTGAAAAGGCATAAACAGGCCTCGGTTTAACATCTCATCAGCAGTACGGTACTTCCAACAATGCAACACACCCCCAACACTGCATTGGGAGTGTCAGCACCTACGTGGGGGCTGAATCCACAATTTAAAAAAATAATAATGATAATTATTTTTTTAAATTTATTTATTATTTTTATTGTTTCGCCCACAAAATACAGTTAATCCACTTTACGGTTTATCCTATGAAGTGCTTTGAGACGTGTTGAGGATGTGATAAAGCGGTATATCCTGTAGCTCAGTGGTTAGATCACTCGCATCGCAAAAAAGAGACCTGGGTTTGATTTCCGGGCAAGGTGAAACGTTGGGCAAATTTCTTTACTCCAAACACATCTGTTTACCTAACAATAAGTAGGAACCCGGTTATTAGTCGATTGGCAGATCGCTTTTCCGGGGGCAACAATTCCTTCAAAAAAAACAGTAATAATAATCATTTGGTCACTCAATCCACGACTGTTTGTGGGAAGCTGCTGTGTGCAATTGGTTGCCATGTTTCACCCCACAAATATACAGTCAACTTATTTTACAGTATATCCTGTGAAGCGCTTTAAGACATCTCGAAGACATGACAAGGCGCTATATGAAGTGCAAGAAATATTATTATTAGTAGTAGTAATAATAATAATACTTGCATTTGATCTAGTTTTATTGCACTAGTGATGTGGCCGTTGTCCGTGCAACATTTATTGTTACTGTTCTTTGTGCTCCAGTTCACAGCGTGGACCCTGACACTTGGTGATTTTAGTTTGAGCCGTGGGTGTTCGGGGGAAACAATCGTGGCTTCATTTAGTTTGAAAGAAAGAAATTCCAATACATATTTAAAGGCTGAAAGAGATAATGATAATAATAACAATAATCCTTGCATACGATATCGTTCCTCGTCACTTTGTTGAGATGTCTCAAAGCGCTTCACAGAATATCTTGTAAAGTGGAGTGACTGTGTTATTTGGCGGGCGAAACGCAGAGCCAAATGTGCACGGCAGTGTCCCAAAAAACAGTCATCTCTTCCACCCTCCCCCACCCCCTCCCTCACATACGCATGCTTTCTCACATCCTTCCCACAAAATCATTTTGGTGTATTCTGGCTGACTGGCTGATAAAGTCTGCAGATCGACTGTTGATGCATAATTCATGTCAAGGCGTGCGCTCTATTTAAAGACTCTGAGAAGTCCCACAGGCTGGGGTTAGGGGGAGGTACTGAGATGCTGGCAAATCCTGACAACGGATCAGTTGCCACGGCAATGGCATTGATGTATATTTTTATATATTTTTAAAAAAAGATTAAAGGCAGGGAAGGACCGTTGAGCCTGTCACAGCTCCTTTTCAAGTCGTTCGTAACATCTCCGATGCCATCGGAAAAAAGGGGGAGAGTTTATGTCATCGATCAGAGGCAGAGTAGTGAAACGAAAGGTTAAACCTTCCCTCTGAATCTCGACAGCCAAAGCTCCTTGCTTGTCAAGAACATAAGAATTTACCAGCTGAAAGAAGACCAAGGTCCATCTAGTTCTCCTTCCACCATCCTGGCAGTCGCTTGCACATGTCACGTCCCAAACTATGTACTGTATCCCACGATATTATTTCCTAAAAGAAATCTATCAAAGTTAAATTATATTACCATGTTACATTATGTTATTAATGTCCGTGAGTGAGGAATAAAGTAATTATTAATGACATTATGTGACATTATGTTACTTACGTCTGTAATATTATGTGACATTATGTTACTGATGTCTATCTGTTGTCCTCCCCCGCAGAGAGACAGAATTATTATTAATAATAATAATCCTTGCATTTCAATTCATGCCTAATAATGTTGAAACCATTGCTGTCAGATGTAGTGACTATGTGCAACGCGACAGGCAATTTGCACCAAACAGTCATGAAGTTAAAGGCCAGTTTGCCTGGTGGCTTGTTGGGCAGGACACTGGGATAAATGCCCTTCGCTGTGTTCAGTGTTACTGAGAACCATATATGGTTTAAACGGAGGCAGCAGGGGATGCGTTACCCGGAAGCATTAGAAAGCCAAAGGCTAGAGAATAAAACGCGAACTCAGTTGGCGGTGTCCTGCCCAACAATGGCATTTTATATTTATGTTTAATGTCTTAAGACCTTCCTCTTCGACCATGCCTACGATCACCTCCCCGCTCTCCTGGTTTGGTATCAGACTCCGCCACTGTAAAGGCTGTATATAAATACAAGTTGTTGTTGTTTATGGCATGTTGCTGTGTGCAAATTGCCATAAACAACAACAACTTGTACTTACTTACAAAATACATGCAGTCTCTATACTTTACAGTAAATCCTGTGACAAACTTTGAGACATCCTCCCGAAGCGAATGGTACTGTATCAAGCAATTTTTTCCTTTGTAATGGGCAGCCATCAGTTTGAGCTTTGGTCATCAAATTAGTTTTCAGTAACTTGCTTTTTAAGTTGTGTGAGATTCTTGATGGCTTATGACTGACTGACTGACTGTAGGGTTGTGCTGCACGGAGAGAGGCAGAGCGTGTGGAGCCGGTTTTTCCAGAATGGCTTTTTCTTGTTGCCTTGGGAGTAAGGAGTACAGAAGTGACGCTAACAATTCTCAGTTATCCCTGGTGTTGGCATACCTAGAAACTGCATTCTTTCTGGGTGAGTCAATCTGGTTCAAGTAACGATAATCCTTGCATTTGGTATAGCGACTTCGCATGTCGGAAGGACGGACGTCTCAATGCGCTTCACAGAATTATTGGGAAATGTATGTGCTATGTATTTGTAGGCGAAAGCCATGTTATTGGATTTGGATTACATATTAAGGAATCTTAAGAAATACTGCAATCTGGAACCCAATGCCTGTGCCCTGAATATAATGAACTTATGGGCTTGTTGCATTTGGAAGAAATGGTCAACTATCCCGATCCCGGGGAGAAGATTATTCCTGATTGCTTCGAAAAGAAAGATTTCTAGATGAAATCCTGCGGGACTCATTAAGGGCAAACTCTGTGGTGAAATGATTCTGAGTCCTTTAAATTGATTTCTGTAAGATTATTAACCGGGAGATCTGAGATCTTCTCTTGTCACTCGATCCAGATTGCGTGAAGAGTTCCAAGGAAATGGAAAAGCTAATCAGACCGAGGGAACTGGCTGCAAGTTCTAGCTGGAAGCCGGGGTGAGGTTTAGGGAGATTTGCTTGGCAATTTACAAAACAAAACAATGTTATAATAGAAGAGAAATCTGGATTTTCAAATGGAGCTTAATTAGTTCTCTCTGCAAATATTTGTACATGCTTCTGGAATGGCGAATTATATTAGTACTTTAGCAAATTCAAAGCCATTATCCCCGGTCTTTCCACCTAGAAATGGGTGACATTGAAAGCCACATAATGAAGTGACACGGAAAGCTAATTATGGGATTTAAGTACAGTTGAGTAACACTGACTAGTTTTATCCTGGTATTCGCTGCTTGGAGCAAGGTCCAGTAATGGTGGCATTGTTCATGTTAATATGCCTTATTATTTTCCTAAATTGTGATATTAAAAAGAAACGGCGAATTTAATAATCTTAATATGATAATTGTGTCTTATCATCGAGAATGCCCTATAAGTGCCTCACAGGATTTACTATCGAGTGTAATGACTGCGTTGCATGAACAAACATGGCAGCCAACTGTAGCACAGCAAATGTCCCCACAAACAGCCACAAAGCGAATGTGGCCGCTCTTCAATGTGGGAGGGAATGTTGGCCAAGACACCAGAAGAAAATCTTTTTAAATAGCCTTTAACGGAGTCTTTAAAATCCACCTAAAGAGGCAGGCGGGGCCCTTGGTTTATGGTCTTATCTGAAAGACAGCGCCACCGACAATGCAACGCTCCCCTCCCAGCAATGCAATGTGAGCTCTGAGCCTCTAATCCAGGGGTTAAATCCGGTCCCAGGGGTGTGATTGCCACCAGCCGAGCCAGCTAGACCTGTCAGTGGGTGTTCTGTTATCAGCTGCTTCATTGCAAACAAAGACAACAAAAGAGAAAAGGAAGCGGAGGAGCTATTTTTGTTCTAAGAATTAGATTGATAAGCATTTGAAGGAGATGCAGGTGGCAGAACAAGATACCACGAGGCATTGTTCATCAGAAAAGAATAACAATAGTAATCCTTTCATAAGATGCAGCACACTATCACAATCTCAAGAATCTCAAAAATCTTCACCAGATACACTGTGACTGTGAATTTTGTGGGCATATGTGGCAACAAGCGGACATGTCCTCAAAGGATTTTTTTGGGGGTCAGCCGGGTGTCTCAATATATGTGGAAACCCATCACCATGCTTAAGAGTATCCAAATCAGACAGAGTGCCCCAAACCAAACAGAGTTCCATGCATCCCACCTACACATGGAAATCCTAGAGATATTTATTAGAATGCAGTCACACCTCTGGGACCGGATTTAACCCTGGATCAGAGGCTCAGAGCTCACAGTGCATTGCTGGGAGGGGAGCGTTGCATTATCGATGGCGCTGTCTTTCAGATGAGACCATAAACCAAGGGCCCCGCCTGCCTCTTTAGGTGGATGTTAAATACCCCGTTAAAGGCTATTCGAAAAGATGTTCTTCTGGAGGGACGCAACCTGCTTACCTAATTTTGGATAGTATTATAACAACAACAACAAGATTACATTTGTATAGTGCCTTTCACGTCGGGAGGATGTCCCAAGGCGCTGGACAGTGTACAGCATTTCTGACCCGAGCACTGGGGTCAGGGGGGGAGAAGGGAGGGGAAAGGG